TCAGAAAACCTCTAAAAAGCTCTCACCAATGCAGCCAGTTCAGCCACCTGGAAGGATCCCTCCACAAGCTCAACATCAGCTTCCCAAAGCTGAGTCTGCGGATTTCTCCAAGTCATCACCGACTTGTGGGAAGCCCCAGAGGCATCAGTGAACACTGTGAAAGCCCTGAGTGCCCTCCGGCTCCTTTTCTCTTGAGGAATAAGGTGGAATTCCTCATTGAACAACTTCTGAGAGGGGGCATGGACTGATATTTGTCCTCTGTAGCTGTCCAGAGATAGTTGGAGACTGGAACTGCTCTGGAGCAAATGCTCAAACATCCCTTTGGTCAATGTCTCAGAAGAGTTCCTTCCTTCCTCAGAAAACCTGACTGAAAGGTGGATACATGCAAAGTGACACCCTGCTAATTCGCACAACCTCACCCTGGCCTTCTGAATCAGCTTTGCTATCAGCTCTTGTGGACTTGTGATGGTTTCGGATCTTTGGAGCGATAGGAAAACCCATTCTATGATTAAGAGTGGGTCCTTCTGCCCCTTGATTCATTGGAAAATCAACCGGTGCAGGTGTGGCAGCTTTCCTAGAACAATGAACTGGAAAGGCAGATTTGGGTCACACCTGTGTGCCTGCCTTTCTGACAAGGCCTTCTGTACCTTTTCGATTGCTGTCTTTGCCTCTGGAGTCAGTTCCCTGGGGGAGGCCAGCTACCTCTCCCCCTTCAATAAATTTAAGAGAGGTTCCAGATCTTCATTTGTGAGGCCTAGCCAGGGCCTTACCCAATTTAGAGACCCACACAGCGAGTGGAGGTCTGCAAATGTTCTGGGGTTGCAATTTATCTCCAATTTCTGTGGGACAATAGTCCTTGCAGAAATTTCCAGGCCCAGGTATCTCCAAGGTGGCATTCTTTGAACTTTGTTTTCCTGCAATTGGAATCCAGCAGAGGTTAAAACTTTAACCAATAGGTCAAGCGTGTATTGGAGTATATAGTCATTGGGAGCACACACAAGCACATCATCCATGTAGTGTAGGATGATGGTATCCTTTCTCTCTGCACGTACTGGAGACAGTAGTGCTGCTACATACTGTTGGCAGATGAAAGGGCTGGATTTTAAATCTTGGGGCAAAACTTTCCAGTGGTAGCGTTTCATCGGGGCTTCTCTATTGACCGTGGGGACTGAGAATGCAAACCTCGGGGCATCTTCAGGGTGCAATGGAATTTGGAAGAAACAGTCCTTTATATCTAACACAGCCAGTTTCCAGTCCTGGGGAAACATAGCTGGACTCGGCATCCCTGGTTGGAGAGGTCCCATGTCCTCCACAGTATTGTTTATCTCTCTGAGATCGTGGAGCAATCTCCACTTGTCCTTCCCAGGCTTTTTTATTACAAAGACTGGGAAATTCCAAGGGCTGTCTGTCTCTTGCAGGTGTCCTTGAGCTACCTGCTCCTCCACAAGTTTTTCAAGCACCTCAAGTTTTTCTCTACTCAAAGGCCACTGTGCTACCCACTTTGGGGTGTTATCCAACCACTTTAACTTGTGGGCGGGGCGCTCCACAGTGGCTTCTTCCAAAAATCCTGGGGTGACCTAGGAATGATTAACTGGAGTCCCCAGTGGGACATGGTGTCTCTCCCCCACAGAGGAGCTTTATAGTCTGCCATAAACGGGCGAACACTTGCTGATTTCCCGTCAGGTCCCTCAATTTGTACTACATTTTTGCAAATTTTTGCCAATGTAGTTCCTCCTATACCCTGAAGTTTGCCTGCCACAGGTTGCAATTCCCAGTGTGATGGCCACATGGTTTTGGGTATCACCGTGATGTCTGCACCTGTGTCCAGAACCCCTTCCACCTGAAGGTGCTCTGACCCATGTGCTAGGTTGCATGCCATGGAGGGTTTATCCTCTCCTACTACTTCTGCCCAGTAGACTTCTGGAGATTTTCCTTCTACTGTGATTTCTACTGGGATGGGAATGGCTTGTGCCAGAATTTGCCCCTTTTCTAGATAGAATGGAGGGTGCAAGCAACGTGCCAACATCATAAGGCTGGATATTTTTCCCTTTGTAGTCATGGGAACTATTTCAATCTCTGGAGGTGTGTATGCTGTGTCCCCAGTAACAAAATACTCACTGTCCAGTTCCATATCGTACGCCTGCAGGTCTTGAGGGCTCTTTGATAGGTCCAATCAGTGTTTCTTAAATGAAATCCTTTGGCAGTCACTAGACGTGGTCGGCCTAGTGGCTGCCAAACCTTGTTAGTTATAAATTTTACTTTTTTTTTTTCTCTCCCCCCCCCCACCATTGTTCCCTCCCTCCCCCTTATTTGTTAAGAGTGAGGCATTGTCACATTTTGGTCCCGCTACATTTATATCTTTATGCGTAGCGGTGGGCACGCGCTGTGCATTTAGTTTTTTTGTTTGTTGATCTGTCTCTGGCTCTGGTTTTGAGGACAGTTTCTGGCAAAGTGTCCTGGTTTCTTGCAACGCAGGCAGTTGATTTGTTGCAGCTGTTGTGATGACCTGGGTTGCTTCCTTGGGCTTGATGCAGCGGTGGCAGCAGGCTGTAAATCTGCTGGTGCTCTATGACTGACAGGAGTATCAAGCAGCTCTGCTCTCTTGGCGCATGCTCCGATCATTTGGGCAAGACTGGGTGCTGGATCAAGAGGAAGGCTGAGAAGAATCCTACGACAGGTCTCATTGGCATTCCTCTGAGCCATTTCTTTAATCAACTCTGTTTGCACACTGGTGTGTTGCACCTGTTTTTCAACTTGGCTTCTCAAACGATCCACAAACTGTAAAAAACTCTCAGAAGGAAACTGTTTGATGTTAATATAGCTGCATTTAACCTCAGTTCCTGGTAATTAAAACAGAGTCTTTTCTGCAGCAGTACAGATTTTTTCCAAGACCGATCTAGATAACAGTCTGGTTTGCTTTTCTGGACATTGTATGTCCCCTGTACCACATAAATGATGTAAAGTAATAGGCTGGCCATCAGCGTCAATGGCGGCACTGGGTGTACGCTGTATTTCTTGTAAAACTGTTTCCAAAGCCAATTTCCACTTACTTTCCCATATCTCATATTCAGAGGATGTTAGTAAACATTTAAACAAATCAGTTATATCTTTCGGTATCATTTCATTTGAATTGAAAGTTGCTCTAATCATACCTTTAAAAATCTCACTAGACCTCCCAAATTCTCTCTGAACTTTACAGATTTCTGTTTTGTCTCTGTATGGGAGAGGTTGGTATGTTCTGGTACCATTCCTTCTCCCTAAATAAACCACTGGAGCTACAGATGGTATAGATTCCTCGGTAGAGACAGGCTTATGTCCTCCCGTGCCCCCCCCACCCTGGTGAGAGGAAGGTCGCACCCCTCCCCCCCTCGGGCTGTCTGCTCCGCGGTGCAGACTCGGGCCCCGGCCGGGCTCTGAGCCGCTGGGCTGCCGTCCCCTGCCCCCGCCCTGCTGTGAGCGGCTGGGCTGCTGTCCCCGGCCCCCGCCCTGCCGTCCTCGGAGTGCAGGGGCTGGCCCCGCCCCTGTTCCCGGGGCAACCCGGGAGCTGGCACTGATAAGGAGGGTGGGGTGGTGCCGAGGGAGATAAGGAAGCATCGGAGGAGGGGAGGGAGGAGGGGGTGGGGGCGGAGGGCGGGGGAAGCAAAGGAATGCGAGTGGGAGGGGGAGTGGGGGGGCCAGCGCCGGTGGAAGCACATGGCCACCGCCATTATCCGACCGCGTGTGCTCCAGAGACGTTGCAGTGCTCTTTAAGACAAACTCCGGGCTACATTTCTCGGAAAAACAAGGTGTTATAGGGGAATAAGGGGTGGGTGAGGGGTTTTCAGGGCTGGGATATTGAGGAGGTGGGCAGGAGGGGGAAAAGGGAGTATTAGAACTGTGGGTCTGTGTTTGTGTGCTTTTTTCTGCTTCTAAAATCTTTTTGCGTGCTTGTAAAAATATCGGAATAAATCGAGAAACTTTATGTTCACCATTTTCGACTTTTAAAGTTAATATCTGTCCAATATTATTCCAAAAAGCAAGCAAATTCAGTTCTCGCACAGTAAAATTTGGTATTTCTGCCTTTAGCCGGCACACAAAACGCAGGAGAAGCTTGTTAGAGAATGATACATCGTTTAAATTATTGCTAAGATGTGTTAGTATACTCTTTTGTTCAAGTGACAGGTTAGTACCCATTATCTTAATCGTATCACTGGTCTACTCTCCACCAGAGCTAATAACACAGCATGAATTATTTGAATTTCCCTCCGTGGAAAACCAAGCAGGGGGGCACAGGGGGAGGGGCGCTCATCCCGCTGCTTGCCAGACCGGTTCCAACCCTCTCCTAGCGTGCCTTTTCCCCCTGGAAGGTGGGTATGCGCAGCCCACCGGTTCCACGCTGACTTGCAGAGGGTCCCTGGCACCCCCCCTCGCAAGCAGCCTCCCGCAGCCACTATGGTAACTTCTCCCAGCCAGGCGTGGTCCCGGGTGCCGCGATCGGAGAACTCACCAAGCCTGTGCACTGCAGGGTTCGTCTGTGAAAACCTCTGGGGGTTCCCTCTCCAGTCGGCTCTTCCTGGGGTACTCAGGCAGAGGTCCCCGACTGTCCCAGTCCCTCAAAGCTTTTAAAGGCAGCTAGAGTACCAGGGCAGTTGATTGTCCCAAAAGCTATTGAATTCCCCTGAAATAGGGGGTCCAGCTTCTTCGTGGGCTCAGAGGCAACACACGTTGGGGCGCCAACTGTAATTTCTGTGGTTTTCCCCCCCTCTCCACGCAGCCCCCTCTAGGATCCGACCAGCTCAGAGATATGGGGCTGTGAGGGGAGGGATACCAGGAGAGGGAAAAGTATTCAAAAGAGGCTCTTACCCCAGGGAAGTTGGATCAGCTCTGTTTATTCTGTGGTGTCCATGGAGAGCGGGGCAAAAGAGAAAGAGCAGAAAGTTTCAGGGGTCTATATAGGTTTTGGACAGGGTGGGCTCTCCTGGCTCCCTGCCAACCCCATTGGGGCAGGAAGGAGGATCCAGGGGTTATCATGATCAGAGCCACAGAGGCCCGGGGAAAGGGGGGACAAAAGGGTGTCCAGGAGCTCACCATAACAAGTCTCTTCTTCTCTGTGCTCCCCTCTGGCTCCATTCCTACGCTGCCTCCAGATCATGAACATGGCAGGGACAACCAAGCAAAATACCATGCATGTGTGCCATTGGATCTTTCCCTCCAGTTCCCACAGAGGCCATGCCAGAGACTCCTGTCTGGCTTCCAGGTCTGCAATTTCCTTCTCCAAGTGCAGCTGGTGCTGCCAAAAGATCACCTCCGGCTCCTTCATCCTCTGGACAATTTCTTTGTCATCTTTGGGAGAAATCCCATTCTTTCCAGAGGGCTGATTGATGCTGACAACGGCCATCAGCACCAGCTACCTATGGAAGATTCCTTCAGCCATGGCTGATCCTTCCCTGAAAGAGAAAGAAAGGAGGACAGAGCCAAGATCCAGACTATATTGCCTCGGGAAGAGAAAGGAAAGAGTCTTGCCCCTGGCAGGAAGGCTCTGGCCAGCCCTGCAGAAAGGCTGGAGGCCAGAGGTGCTCCTCAGGGCACGCCTGCTGCTGCAAGTTCCAAGTCCAGCTGCCCAAAGAGGCTCCATGAGCACATTGAGATAAATGGGCAAGGAGGCCAGCTCCTTTTGGATGCCTTTTATAAAGTGATCAGCTCTGGGTGGGGCCCCGAGGGGTCACGCACACTGCTGCTGCTCCCTTTGGCAACGCAGAGGAGGAGGTGAACAGTTTTGCTTCACAGCAGAACTGGGGCTTCTGTCCTCATGGGCGTGCCTAGGACGACATCTTTTGGCTCGTCGGCTGGGGTCCTCGCTCTGACTCAGTTCTACTTAGGTTACAGTGACAGTGAAAACCATGTTGGTAGGGTAGAGGGACTTCTTGATGGTAGGTCTAGTTGCTTAGTTGTGCAAATTTTAGGTTGGCTCATCATTTCTAGGGTCTTTTGTGGGATTTTCCTGTGCTTTTCTTGATTTGCATATTTCCCGGGAATGTTCCAGTCACCATTTTGGGGAGCAGCAGAGGCAATACCCGATGGACGCAACAAGGGTTACAGGTAAGGTTGGGGCACAACCAAGGTGTATGCAAGGGAGTTAACAGTGGGGGTACAACAAGGGTTTAACATTTAACAACAATTTGATTAAACATAATTAACTTATTACAACTTTAGGTGCATTAACAGCTCTAACTATATTAACCAATGAACTTGTTCATAACACACGTGGTGAGGAGGAAGAGGAGGAAGGTGCGAGACACAGGGACACAAACCTGAACAGCCGGGTTTGAGGAGAGAGAAGCTCAGCATTGCAGATGGCAGAAGAAACCAAGCCCAGTCCCCCAAGCAGGAGGAGGAGAGGAAGGGCCCCCCAAGCTGGCTGCAGGCAGACAATGGAGACCTTGCCCAAATGTTCCCAAATGGGCTGGGGTGAGGGAATACACGACCCTGCTTTCCAGCTGCTCCCACCACTTCTGACCCTGCCACTGCCTTGAGACAAAGCCCAATGAAATCCTGCTCAGCATGGGCAACTGGGCCTTTGAAGGGCTTAGTGTCAGGTCAAGGCTTCCTATCCCTCCCAAAGCCTTTCCCTTGGCAGCCTTGGGCAGGGCATTCATCTTCCCTCCCTCCTCCTTCCCACAGACCTGCTCTGAACCACTCCAAGGGCACTTTCTGTTCTCTGTGTCCATCCTCAAGTGCAGTACCAACCTGAGTCAGTCCTGGCTCTGTCCTGAACTCCCAGGAACTCGCAGGCTGCAGATGGCAACGCTCAGGCACACCAGGGCATTACCCCTGCCAGCAGCACCCCCACAAGAAGCAGTAGCAGCAGCAGCAGCGGCAGCAGCTGCTGCAGTTGCCTCTCATCTGTTGGTGCTCCTGCACTGCAGCCCTTCCCACTGGCATCAACGTTCCCTTGTGGCCTTGGAGACAGTCCTGAATCCATCCATGGGGTCACAGAGCCATGGAATTCCAGAGTTCTAGGTTCATGGAATTCTAGATTCATTGAATCCTGGGAACCACACTCATCTTCGATGTTGAGATGATGCTGGGACATCACGTTCCTGAGAATGCTCTCCACTTGATTAATTGTCTGGATATTTTCAGTCAATTGCTTGTGTCTCCTCAGTTCTGATGTAAAATGTTTCTCACGTCAAACCAATTATTTCCTTTCCTTTACTATCCAGCCAGAAACCTTCCCTTTAGTTTTTTACCTAAGTTTTCCACTCAGATCACAAGAAATTAAATATTAGGACTCATTGCACCATCCATTACCTAGAAGCAACTTCCACACAACAAGATAATGAAAAGCTATTTTTCACAGCATAAGATTTCTATGCGATACACATGGTAAAAAGGGCAAGAAGGAAAAAACCAAAATCTAGATCTCTAGAGAAAATTCAAAATAATTCTACAGTTGTATTTTTCTCAAAATTTTCTGGAACAAAGCCTTTAGAAAGAGACCAGTGAAGAAATTTAGATTCCATAATAAAGCCATATACATTTTACATGAGCTCAAATGTAACATTCAGGCCTATTCCAATTATATTCTGGAACCTTTTACAATAGCAGAGCTTACTGAAGCAACAAGTCATGTACCTCTCAGGATAATAACATGATAGGGTTAGTTTGCCAGCCAAGTGGTTCCCAAAGACAAATCTGCAGTGATGTACAGAGCTCGGCAGCTCATTCCATACTCCTCACCATTTGAATCCATTCCAGTCAGCCAAGAAAGTGACTGCTTTCAACCCTGCAGGCTTCTTGGAAAGAACTGCAGAAAGGGGTTTACTTTGAAAATGTTAACTTTTATTCTCTCTGCACATTACAGTTTGTGGGATAGCCTGTACCATGCTAAGATCGCACAAAAGGCATTTTAGGAGACCAAATTACAAAGAGAAGGGAGACCAAACATAAGTTTCTACTCTTCTGCCTGGCTGGAGTATTTAGAGAGAGACATATCTGATGATCCAAGGCTGCCATTCAGATTGTTAAATGGGTTAATTGACACAGTTTTCTTGTAAGGGGAGGGTGCCATATGAGAGGTCAGCAGTAGCAATGAAGAGAAGCTTTGCTTTAGCAGCAGCTACTGCTGAAAATCCACCTTTTCTACCCAGCACATTCAGCACACACAGAGTTTGGGGGTTTTTCTCAGTTTGGCAGACTACGAGTGTGGGGAGTGTGGGAAGAGCTTCAGGCAGCGTCCCCACCTGATTATCCACCAAAAGATCCACACTGGGGTGTTGCTGTCGAGGCAGGATGGGAATGAATAGACTTGACTCAGAAGGCTGTGAGAGTAAGACCCCGATTTATTCAAAATACACTGCTCTTTTATACAGAGCTTCGTGAGGACCAAATCCATTGGTTCTGAAGTGAAAACAACCCAAAGCATCGGTGCAAAGTGCTTGATGCACAGTGATAGAACTTAAATATAAACAATGTGAAAACAAGAGAGATAAAGAATTATTTACATTCTTCTCTAGCTCTTTCCCAGGCTTTTTGCCTGGCTAGAAACTCTCAGTTTCTTTCTTTGACTGAATCTGAGTCCCACCCTGGGGAGAAACCCTGCAAGTGTTCTGAGTGTGGGAAGAGATTTTGGCTCAACTCAGATCTCTTCCAGCACCAGCAGATTCCCACAGAGGAGAGGCTCTTCCACTGCCCAGACTGCGGGAAAGGATTCAGGGACAACTCCACACTCGTCACCCACCGCCGCATCCACATGGGGGAGAGGACCTACGAGTATCCCCAGTGTGGGAAGAGCTTCTCCAGGACCTCTCACTTGACCCAACACCAACGGAGGCACTGGTAAGGGAAGCCCTGCGAGTGCCCCAAGTGCGAGAAGAGCTTTGTGCACTGCTCCAGCTCCATCCTCCACTGGAGGACCCATGTTGGGCACAGCCCTGGTGACCCACATTCCCTGTGATCCATGTTGGGAACACACCTGACTAGTTTTCCTTTTGGTTTGGCCTTAATTTTCTTCTGCTTCATCTTCATCCCTTGAATCAGGTAAAATGGGGTTAAATGAAAGAAATTGATCAAAAATAGCTGAAGTCCCACCATTTCACAGGTGTTTGAGGGGGAATTTAGGATTTGGGGACACATTCTGTATGGAGTGCCCCTATTGCTAAGAGGCAGGAGTTTGATCTCACCCTTATTGTGTTGCTAATAACTCCTCCCTTGACCCAAACCATAACTCCGCTCCTTGGGATACCCTATACAAACCCCACAGCCCTGCCTTTGTCCTGTGTTTCAGGGGTAAGAAATGGATTCCGGAGCTTTGTGAAACCAAGACCTGTCTCGTTTGTTCCTGGCACCGGCAGCTGCACGCTCCCCGGACACCGTGAACTCAACTTCTGGAGGATTTGTGGGTTCTGTGGGGATTTTGCGCAGTGTTCTCCATCTCTTTGCACTACAAAAGCCAAGAGGGATGGATCTGTCACCACAAAACCACTCACATCCCACTGAAAGTAACTGAATTTTAACTTATAAAGGCACAATCTCACCTCAATTTGCTTGTTCTGACCTCAAAAAACTCAATCCCACACAAAGCTCACTGAATTCCACAGCTGCACGGGTGAGATGGGGTTGGGAGGAGATTGGGAGAAGTGGGATCCCAGTTTGGAGCAGTGGGATGGGGATTGTGTGGGGCTGACTGGGTCGGATGTATTTGATAGGCAATAAAACTTTCATAGTTACTGATTTCTGTCCCGTTCATTTTCAGTCTGTTGCAGTTCTGTTTGCAGAGTGCCACCTTCTGAGATGATTAAATTTCTATAAAAATCCCTTTTTTAAAATCATCTAAGCCAAACAATCCAAAAAACAATATCCAAATAAAACGACCCATCTGCAATTAAGTTTTTTTAAAATAATTTAAATTTTTAGAGTACTCAAGGGTGTTATTAAAATTTAATTGTTTGATTAAAATGCATGAGAAATTATAGTGGTGTTTATTTTTGTGTTTAGTATATTTATAATATGAATTGCTTTACTAAGGTGTGTTAGATTGTATGTTAGTTTTTTTAGATATTTTTTATCTAAAGTATATCAGTTACTGAGTTAAAACTTTCAAAAGGTATTTCTTGGTATATAATTTGTTTATTTCTATTTATTGCTAATGTTATATTAATAGTTATTGTTGGTTTGGGTTAAATAATTATTGGAGTATTGTACGTAAGAGTTTAAATTATTATATTTCATTTCTATTCTATGTTACAGTGCGCTCAGGCTATGCTTTCTCCCTTTCCAGGGACCCCTGTGACTGGGATCTGATAAGTATGGCCCCCTCCCTCCTGTTCTGATGGGGTTGGCGGAGAGCCAGAAAGCCCTCTCTGTCCAGAGCCTAGATAAGGCCATGTCCCTTCCTGTTATCTCTCTTTTCCCCTTCATCTCATGGAATAAACAGCTGGACAACAACATTGGGGAATTGGAGCCTCTTTTGAATCTTTGCCCAACTCCTGACACGCCTTCCCTCAAAGCCTCGTTGATCTGGGCAAGCTTGGTGATTTGGGGGGGCTGCGAGGGATAGGCACATCAATTCTATTTCATTTTAATAAAAAATTTATTTATTTATAATTTTATTATAATTTGTTGAGAGGATAGGAAGGAAATTCAAGGGCAGGAACATTTTTTCCTGGCCGGGAACTGGAATTCCAGACCCTGGGAGTGTGTGCAGGACCACACAGACTGGGATCAAATATGGACTGGGATAAAATATGGACTGGGATCACCTGGACTGGGATCAAATATGGACTGGGACCATATGAATCAGGACCCCACTGATCCATACTGGGATCAGCTGGACTGGGATCAAATATGGGCTGGGACCATTTAGAATGGGACCATACTGATCAGGATGATACAGACTGGGATAAACTGGGTTGAGATTATATGGTCTGGGACCATATGCACTGGGATTGCACAGACTGGGATCACATGGACTGGGAAAAAGTACTGGCTACCTTTGGCTACCATCTACATATAAATGTGGCCACCTCAAGTTGGCTTGATCCTGTTTGGGTGTCCCATCCCCTCTTTCCCCCCTCTTTCCCCCGCCTTCCCCATCGTTCCCCCAGTCCACAATCCCCTCCCCCATGTTTTGTTTTGGGGCTTCCAGGCCCCTCTTGCTCTGTGTGGGGGTCCCGACCCCTCTTTGGTTTAATTTGGGGCCCCAGCCCACCTTCTCACCATGCCCCCCACAGCCAGGGGGGCTCCCAGTACCACCAGTGCCACCAGTAAAGCCCCAGCTGCCCCCGCACGCCCCATCCCCATCCCCAGGGTCACCTCCCCGATCCCAATCCCGTTCCTGATTGTAAGAAACTACAGACTGAGGTATTGTTTATTAAGATATATGTAAAGGTTAGGTAACTGTGAGAAAATATAGACCGGGGTATTGTTTATTAAGATAAGGTTAGGCAACAGAGGTATGCAAACAGCGAACGGACACAGCTGATGCAAGATAAGATAACAACCACTTACACCAGAGACTGCTTATACAAACACAAGATAACGGCAGGAATTAGCTTGCAAATTCCAGGGAGAAAAAAGAAGAAATTGGAATAAAAGGAGACGGTTTGAACGAATCAACACAGCAGTCAGTGGAGCTTCGGTTTTTGAAGTTCTCTGTCTGCTGTCCAGCGCTGTTGCCTTTGTTCATATCCTACTTGCTGTAAATTAATAAAATTCTTAATTGGATTATGTTCCGTTGTGGCGCAAATTTATGACAATTTCTGGTGCCGTGACTCGGATAAGGAAGGGTGGGCTTTTGATCCTCCGGGGAGGCGCCCCGTGACATTTCGCGGCCCCGTGATCAACAGCTTACCCCAACCTTACCAACGAACCTAAAATCTAGGATTATGAGCAAAGGAAAAACCGGTAAAATCCCATAAAAATTCTGTGCACAGGAGTCCGGACGAAGATGCAGGACGCGTGAGTATATTGTGACATTATTCGCAGAGCGAAATTGTTCACGGCGAAATTGTTCGCGGGTTTGCCGTTCGGGCAGGATTGGGTTTCCTGGAATATAACGAATGAGAGGTTCGATATACTGAACCAAGCAAGTGTGGACTCTTAAGTACTGCGTTTTCCATCTCCCGTGAGGGACTGGGCCAGGAACAAGAGGAGCGAGTGAGTGTGTGTTTGTGGATATTCCAGAAGATGGGGGCGAAGGGCAGCAAGCCTTCGACTCCCATGGGGGGGGTACCCTCTGTACCTAAGAATACCCCTCTGGCATATATCTTAGATAATTGGAGATATTTCCCTGAAACCCTAGGGAAAGATAAGCAAAAAATGATAGAATATTGTACTAAGATACGGGGAGGGAAGAAGATTTCTGAAAATGTCTTTTGGCCTGTCTATGGGTCAGAAGAAGATTGGGTAAGACAGCAATTAAACCTCTGGGTTAATAATAAAAAACTCTTTAACCCGGAGGAGAGTCAATATGAGGAAGTGTGGCTAGAAAGACCGGGGGCTAGACTTTATCCGTTTAATGAAATAAAAACTAAACAAAAGAAAAAGAAGGAAGAGTTAGACTAAACCCTTCTAACCCTCCCTCCTTATATTCCTCCTCCTGTTCCTGCTGCCCCTCCAGAGGTCCCCAGAGCGCCCACTCCCCCACCAGAATCAGAACAAGAGTCCCCCCCCCCCCCCCTCCTAGACGTGTAACTAGAAGTCAAAGAGGGGCAGCTCAGATGTACCCCCTAAGGGAAATACCCATGGGGGGACCTCAACCTGTGATCGGATATATTTCCGTACCCTTAAACTCGGCTGACTTACGAGATTTTAAAAGAACCGAGATGGGAAACTTAGTTGAGGACCCACTCGGAGTAGCAGAAAGACTAGATCAATTTTTGGGACCAAACCTTTATACTTGGGATGAGATGCAATCTATCCTTGGTCAATTATTTACTACCGAGGAAAGAGATATGATTAGACGAGCAGGAATGAGACTGTGGGATGCTCAGCATGCCCAGGGACCTCAAGCAGATATTAAATTGCCACTCCAAAGACTTAATTGGAATAATCAGGATCCGGCGCATAGAACTCACATGCAGGACCTGAGAACTATAGTAATTCAGGGAATTAGAGAAGCAGTACCCCGTGGGCAGAATATCAATAAAGCATTTAATGAAATGCAAAAGAAAGATGAAAGCCCTACTGAGTGGCTGGAACAACTGAGGAAAGCCCTTCAGCTGTACTCTGGGGTAAATCCAAACGACCCTTTAGGGCAAGCGCTCCTCAAAACTCAGTTTGTGGTGAAATCATGGGAAGATATCAGAAAGAAGATTGAAAAGTTAGAGGACTGGCAGAATAGAGGGTTGGATGAATTATTGAGGGAAGCTCAGAAAGTCTACGTAAGGCGGAAAGAAGAGAGCAGCAAGCGACAAGTAAGAATGATGGTAGCAGCGGTCAGAGGATCGCAAAGGGCGAACTGGTGAACACAGATCTGCTAGGATGAAACAAGGAAAGGTAGTAATAGAAAAGGAACAGAGATCTTGTTTTTACTGTGGAAACAAGGGACATATAAAGAAAAACTACAGAGAAAGGATAAGGGATGAGGAAATATTGAAAACGGAATAGGAAAGTCAGGGGCTCTATATTTTAGGGGACCGGAGTCACCACGAGCCCTTGATAAAATTAAAAATAGGTCCCCATAAACAAGAGTTCACCTTTTTGGTAGACACTGGGGCTGAGAAATCAACTATTAAGCAAATACCTGAGGGATATAAAGTTTCCCCTGAAAAGGTACAAGTAATTGGGGCAAAAGGGGAACCCTTTAAGGTAAGTAAAATTAAAAATGTGGTATTCGAAACTGAAAATAAATTTGGAATGGGTGAACTCTTGCTCGTCCCTGAAGCAGAATTTAATCTGTTAGGATGAGATTTAATTGTTGAACTGCAATTAGAAATTAAAGTGAAAAATCAAGAGTTGGCAGTATCTGCTTATCCTTTGACCGTGGATGATCAAAAACAAATTAACCCCAATGTCTGGTACTCTCCGGACACAATTAGTAGACTGGAAATGCCACCGATTAAAATCCAAATTTCCGAACCCCACATACCTGTGAAAGTAAGGCAGTATCCCATATCCTTAGAAGGACGGAGAGGATTGAAGCCAGAAATTGATCGATTGTCGGCACAAGGAATCTTAGAGCCTTGTATGTCACCCTTTAACACCCCCATTTTGCCTGTAAAGAAACCTAATGGGAAATATCGGCTCGTACATGATCTAAGGGAAATAAACAAAAGAACTATCACTCGGTTCCCTGTAGTAGCAAATCCATATACACTGCTAAGCAAACTAGGACCCCATAATTCCTGGTATAGTGTAATTGATTTAAAGGATGCTTTTTGGGCCTGTCCGCTGGCAGAAGAATGCCGTAATTATTTTGCTTTTGAATGGGAAGACATAGAGACGGGCCGGAGACAGCAATTACGATGGACCGTGCTCCCCCAAGGGTTCACTGAATCCCCTAATCTGTTTGGACAGGCCCTAGAAGAACTCTTAACAGAATATCAGGTACAAACGGGGAATGTGCTGTTACAATACGTAGATGATCTGCTCATAGCGGGGAATAATAGGGAGAATGTAAGAAAAGAAACCATTCGACTTCTAAACTTTCTTGCACAAAAGGGACTACGGGTATCACAAGAAAAGTTACAATTTGTGGAGAAAAAAGTGAAATATCTGGGACATTATCTGTTTAACGGCCAGAAGATATTAGATCCAGAGCGTATTAAAGGAATTCTGGAATTACCTATGCCTGTCACTAAGAGGCAAATCCGGCAGGCATTAGGACTATTTGGGTATTGTAGGCAATGGATAGAAAACTACAGCTTTAAAGTTAAATTCTTATATGAACAATTGCCTAAAGGCAAAATACCCAAGTGGACTCCTCAGGATCAGGAGCAGTTTACCAGCCTCAAAACGGAGCTAAGTCAAGCACCAGTTTTAAGTCTCCCAGATTTAAAACGGCCATTCCATTTATTTGTTAACATACATGAAGGAACGGCATTCGGAGTGTTAACTCAGGAATGGGCCGGACAAAAGAAACCGGTGGCATACCTATCAAAGCTGTTGGACCCTGTGAGCAGGGGTTGGCCGAGTTGTTTACAAATCATTGTTGCTGCTGCCCTATTACTTGAGGAAACAAATCGCATTACTTTTAATGGAGAAGTTATCTTATATGCGCCTCATAACATCAGGGGAGTGCTACAACAAAAAGCAGAAAAATGGCTTACAGATAGCCGATTACTAGAGTATGAGGGAATACTTATAGAATCCCCTAAACTATCTTTAAAAACTATTGGAGCAGTTAACCCCGCTGAATTTTTGTACCCAGGAGAAGGTAATGAACTATTGCACAATTGTTTTCAAACAATTGAACAACAAACACGCATTAGGTCAGACTTAGAAGA